CTAATCGTATTCCACACTTGGTACACTTGGGACACATGTACACAACTTTAACTTCACTTGTGATTTTTATTCTCCTATAAGACTGAGTGAAGAAGGACAAATGGCTCTAAACAGAGATAGATGTTATCGTAGATTTCCTACAGGCTTTTTATTTTACTTTTTTCACTCTTCATATTTAATTCATTAACAAATCTAACCCTTTATGTGTTCTACACCTCTTAAGTCCATTTCCCTTTTATGTCCCTGTCATTATTATAATAACTGCTTCTCACTGCTCTTCCATCCCTATCTGTATTGCCAACAGGTCCTTGTTGTTGTTACAATGGTATTCTATCTTTGCTCCCTATATGGCATACGGCCTTTCTTTCATCATGTGACTCCTACTACATCTCCCCTCTGTTTTCCTGAACATTGCTTATTCTACACTTGATGGTCTGCCTGTGCTGAACCATAGGGTGTTCTTTTCCATTTAATTATTACCTTCATGCCTTTATTCTTACTCTCACAATTGCTTGAAATGCCGTGGTCTCTCTTTATTGCCTATCTGAACTTTACTTGATTTCTTTTTGAAGGCACAGCATACTTTATTTACTCATTGAACAAACATTCATTCATATAGTAGTTATTATATGGTAGATGTCATTCTAAAGTAGGGTTTTGTACACTATGACCTATGGGCCAAATTCGGCCCATTGCCTATTTTTTTTTTTTTTTTTTTTTGGGTTGGAGTCTCACTCCGTCGCCCAGACTGGAGTGCAGTGGCCGCTCCTGGCCACCGCAGCCTCGACCTGCTGGGCTCCGGCAGTCCTTCCGCCTCAGCCTTCTGAGTAGCTGGAATTACAGGCATGCGCTACCATGCCCGGCTGATTATTTGATTTATTGTAGAGATGAGGTCTTGCTGCCCAGGCGGGTCTCGAACCCTCGGGCTCAGGCAATCTACTCACCTCAGCCTCCCAAAGGCGTGGGATTACAGGCTGAGCCACCGAGCCCAGCTCGCCTATTTTTTTTTTAATGTGACAGCTTTATTGAGAGAAAATTTATATCCCATGAAATTCATCCTCTTGAAGAGTACAATTCAAAGGTTTTTAGTATATTCACAGAGTTGGGCAAGCATCATGGCTATCTTATTTTAGAACATTTATCGCCCCCCCCCAAGAATTTCCATTTCTTATTATTCCATTTTCCTCTCCCCTAAGCACACTACTTTCTGCATCTATAAATTTTTATTTATTCATCAGTTGATGAACATTAAGTTGCTTTTTGTCTATCATAAAAAAAATGTTGCTATAAATGTTTATATACAAGTTTCTGTGGGGACATATGTTGTCATTGTTTTATACATATAGGAGATAAGTTTTTTGCTAATATGGTATCCCTATGTTTAACTTTTTGTGGAACTGCCAAACTGTTTTCCACAGTGGTAGTATCATTTTTCATTCCCACCAGGGTTCTAATTTCTCCATATCCTGCTCAACATTTATTATTATATATTTATTTTATACATCCCAGTGAAAGTGAAGTGATGTCTCATTTTGATTTTGAATCACATTACCCTAATGAATAACAATGTTGTACATTTTATGATGTGCTTATTAGCTGTTTGTATATCTTCTTTAAAGAAATATCTAGACAATTGATTTTTAATTGAGTTATTTGACTTTTTATTGTTGAGATTTAAGAGTTCTTTATATGTTCTGAATTCAAGTCTCATATCAGATGTGATATTTGCAAATATGTTCTCCCATTCAATGAATTTTCTATTTACTTTATTGAATCTGAATTAGATTTTACGTTACTTCTCAACTCAGTTTTGGTAGTTTGTGTCTTTCTACAAATGTGTTTATTTTATCTAGGTTATCTAGTTTGTTGGACATAATTGTTCATAGTATTCTTATAATTTTAAAAATTTTTTGTAAGACTGGTAGTAATGATCCTTATTTCATCCCTGGTTTTTGTCATTTGAATCTTTTATTATCTTTTGGGGGGGTAGACTAACAAAAGTTTTGTAATTTTCTTGGTCTATTGAAAGAACCAACTTTTGGTTTTGTTGATTTTTTTCCTATTGTTTTTCTATTCTCTATTTCAGTTATTTTTTGCTCTAATCTTTATTTTCCCTTCATTCTATTTGCTTTGGGTTTAGTTTACTCTTATTTTTCTTATTTGTTAAGATGAGATGTCAGGTTATTTATTTGAAATCATTCATTTTAATGCATACATGCTTATAGCTATAAACTTTTCTGTAAGCACTGCTTTAGCTGAATCCCTAAGTTTTGGTATATTGTATTTTTATTTTTATTCATATCAAAGTGTTTTCTAAATTCTCTTGTAATTTCTTCTTTGACAAATTGGTTATTTAAGAGTGTGTTCGTTCAGTAACAGGCATAATGTGAATATCTCAACTTTACTTCAATTATTAATTTCTAATTTAACTCGGTTACGGTCAGAGAACATACTGTGTATGATTTTAATTATTTTAAATAGATTGAGGTTTGTTTTATTACCTAACATATGATCTATCCTGGAGATGTTCTATATACACTTGAGAAAAATGTGTGTTCTGCTGCTCAACAGATTGTTCAGCGTAGATTGTTTAATAGATGTCTGCCAGTTCTAATTGGTTTATAATATTGTTAGAGTTTTTCATATCCTTATTGATAATTTGCAGAGTATTGAAGTCTCCAGATGTTGTTGAGTTGTATTTCTCCTTTCAATTGTTAGTTTTTGCTCGATGTATTTGGAGGCTTTTTTGTTAGGTGAATGTATGCTTATAATTATTATAATTTTATGATTTAGTAGTTCTTTTGCCCTAAAATGTCCTTTATTATGGCTAGAAACACTTTTAGTCTTCTTTTTTTTTTTGAGTTGGAGTCTCACTCTGTGGCCCAGGCTGGAATGCAGTGGCACGCTCATGGACACCGCAGCCTCAACCTGCTGGATTCAGGAGATCCTTCCTCCTCAGCTTCCAAATATCTGGAACTACAGGTTCGTGCCACTATGCCCAGCTAATTTTTTTATTTACAGTAGAGATGAGGTCTCACCAGGTTGCTCAGACTGGTCTTGAACCACTGAGCTCAGACAATCCTCTTAGCTCAACCTTCCAAAGTGCTGGATTACAGGCTTCAGCCACCATGCCCGGCCCAATTTCAATCTTAAAGTCTGTTTTGTTTGATATTAATATGGCCACTTTAACTTTGCTTTGGTTATTGTTTGTATGATATTCCTTTGTTTTCAACCTAGTTGTGTCTTTGAATCTAAAATGTATCTCTGATAGAGGCCAATAATTGAATTATGTTTTTTGTCTTTATTTTAACAAACTGTGACTTTTGTTTTAGGTGCTTATTCTGTTTAAATTTAATGTAGTTACTGGTAAGGTAGAGTTTACATCAGTCATTTTGCAATTTCTATTCAATGTGATTAAATCTGCCCATTTCCTATAGCCAGTCTCAATTTCAAAGGATAAAGATTCACTTATGCCAAAGTGCTATGGGTGAAATAAACACTGCTAGAGGACCAAATGCTTGTGGGGGTTCAGTCTTCTGAGCTGTGCAACAAATGCCTTTTTTGGACTGAGATGTCAAGTTGCTCTCTCTGCCTGGAGTGGTAGAGAGATGCTAAATCCCTGAGTGTCCTGTCTCCTTTATCTGAAATTTGTGGCACTGAGTAGACTGCAAAGAAATTAAGACAAAGTTAAACACATGGGAAAAGGTGCTTGAGGAGAGATTTAATTTCTTACTCTCACACCAAACTGCATACTTATCTACACAGGCGAGTTAGAGTGGTAATTTAATGGGCATGCAGCCTTTTGAGATGCTGATAAAATGGTCTGTAATATGGCCTCTCATTATTTTGTAAAGTCTTGGCATTGAACTCAGCAATTCAGAGCCTAGAGCCCATTCTTCCTGAGGGGGAAAAAATAGAAATAATATAGATTAATCCTTTTTCTTTTATAGAGAAAAGTTGAAAGGCCGGTGACTCAGGGTCAAGAAATCTTCAAATTAATAAAGACTTCTTACTAGCCACCTGCTATTCTATATCTCTGTAAAGAAACAACTACATTTTTTTAAAAGAAAGAATTCATAAGATTCACGTCATCCTTTTAATTTTTTTTTAAAATAAGTGAATAATTAAAAAACATAATTTTATCAAGTTACCTAATTTCTGTTTCTTTTGAAGGTGAATTTTCTACAAATATATTTTATTTCAGGCAGAATTCTTTACATTAAGTTTGAAACGATAATGAAACTGCTCTTGGGGTGAAGGATTAAGGAAATACTTTCTGATTAATAATAGAAACTGACAGAAATTGGGAATTTTAAAATTCTCTCTCATTGTTACTGGTAAGTGAGTCTAGGTGAAGCAGGTCAGATTCAGCTAAATTTAGACCTAAGTCTCTAATTTCTGTAAAATAGGATTAAAAATTGGAACAGTTTTATGCCTGAAACATCCTGAATATTTTTCTCTCTTTTTATAGGAAGATTGGGTATGTTTTATTAACTGGATGTGTTTTTGTTCTCAGTATAGCTCAAGGCATAAAACAAAGAAATTTAAGCAGTAAACAATCTATTTTGAGTTTATTAAGATCCAGAAATAAGACAGAGAACCAAGAAGAGAAGAAGCAAGAAATTCATTGAGAAAGAACACAATTACCATAGTCTTATATTCTCTCTCATGAAAAATCATTATATAGTGAATTTCTCAAGTTCAGAGTTTACATTGTATCTGGTTTGTACTCCCAGATTTCAATAATGCTCTCTCCGTGTCTAGAAATAATCTACAAATATTGGCATATGAAGAACTCAAGTAACCCGAGTAGTTGAACTAACCTCATCCATGGTATTGGTTTTTCATATAAAGTAAAAAGATCAGCACGTGTAGAGACAGGATAGCTTAACTTTAACCAAAATACCATAGAAGGGGTGGCTTATACAACAAACATTTATTTCTCACAGGCCCAGATACTCAGAAGTCCAAGGTCAAGGTGCTGACAGATCTGGTTTCTGGATTTGGTTTGCAGACAGCCATCTTCTTCTTGTTTTCTTACCTGGAAGATAGCAGAGAGAGTGAGGGCAAGTCCTCCTGTCTCTTCCTATAATTTCATTAACGAGAGATACACTCTCATGGCCTAATTACTCCTAAAGGCCCCACCTCCTAACACCATCAATTTAGGGGTTAGGATTTCATCATATGAATTTTGGGGGTGCATATATTTAGCACAGGAGCTCATAAAGAAATGTGATGGCTCCTTCAGATTTGGCCAGAGCTGTGTCCTTTCTAGAATTCTTAAATGCCTAAGGACAAAGAAGTGATGGAATGAGTCTATTTGCATAAGGAGCAGAAGCACCTTCCTATGTAGATTTATGATGAGGATAGAGGAAATTAGAAATAATAGCTTGATTCAAGAATAATCCCTCAAAATCAAAGAAGAAGGATATTTTGGAGTATAATTTTCTTTTTTCAAATACTCTTCAAGCCCAGTGCCATGGACTCATGTCTAAATGTTCTAAGAAAAGACTACAGCCGGGCTCGGTGGCTCAGTCTGTAATCCTGCGCCTTTGGGAGGCTGAGGTGAGTGGATTGCCTGAGCCCGTGGGTCCGAGACCCGCCTGGGCAGAGAGACCTCATCTCTACAATAAATCAAAAAATTAGCTGGGCGTGGTAGCACGCGCCTGTAGTTCTAGCTACTTGGAAGGCTGAGGCAGAAGGATTGCTGGAGCCCAGCAGGCGAGGCTGCGGGG